TGGCCGGTAAAAGAAATTGCGTAACCATTGATTATGAAAGTGGTGTAAGTCCAATTTCCATCACGATGCCAAGCCTATTACATACGAAAAATATAAGGATATGCAGCAGCTATTACCTTATATACCTCCTGTGCATCATGAATATTTCAAAACACTGCCACATGAAGAGCATAAATAATTAATAATACCAATATCTTGTGTTAAGTTTAACAATATATAAATATAATTAAGGTTCAAAATAAAAAATGCTAATCCTATTTTATTTCTTGTTATTATTTATAAACAAAATTGGATTAATGTGAGATATATTTTAAATGATATTTGTTATTTCAAAATTGAAATTAAATGATATTAACAATTGACTAATTATGAAAGTGGTGTAAGTCCATTTGCAGCCTGGAAATTGTATATTATTTTAGTTAAATTCGCCTAAAAGAAATTTATATAATCAAATTACATATTGATAAATTAGTACAAACATTCCCAGACTTTACATAATTAACCTATATTTTTTAATTGTCAGATCTGTTAACATTCAATTTTCTCGAAACGAAAGAAAGTGGACTTGCACCACTTTCAAAATAAACGGTCCATATATTGGTAAATTTTAAGGTGTTTCGATTATTCGGATGCCACGAGGAAACAAAACGAAGAGATAGAAAAAGAACATAAATAATTATTCCGTGAAAACTGCATATAGTTTCTCGACTTCGGGACACATTTTAGATACACATTTCAAAGAGCTCGCGACAGCTAACTTGTTCGATACTCCTTGCAACGTAATCGATTCATGGAAAATTGTCGAAAATTGTTTCCTTCTGACGTACGAAATACAATGGTCCGCGTAGAATGCTCGCGATTTCGTAGAGAAACGCGTTTGCGGAACGTTTCTACCAATTAACCGGGCGCGGTCGGATGTATCAATCGGACTGCAGCGAGCAATCCGAGGTCTGAAATACATTTTCGAGCAGGTGGTTTCCGGTGTCCGTCGCTCGGTTGTACACAGAGCGGATCCGGCGAATCAAACGGACTCACGTTGCGCACACAACCGCGGACAGAGGTTGGGACGGGCTTAATGGCGGTCGGCTTAAAAAAAGGAGCCGGGGAAATTCGTAAACGAGGACGCCGGTCGCGGTTGCCGGCGGTTGTCGGCGGCACGGCAATTAGCGGTGTTGCTCGTCAACAGCGGGACAATCGGCCAGAAAGTTTTCAAGGCATCGAGCCGACCCCGGGTTGATAGCGCCGCCGACGGTAATGGTAGTGGGTAGCGGCTGGCTATCGTACGGCGGTACACGCGTGGCCTGTCGTGTTTCGGTTCATCAGGGTGATTGGTGCGGATCAAACGAGCGGGCCGCCGCCCACGAGCGGAGCGGACGGCTCGCCACGGAATTTCCAATGCCGATACCCGCCATTCCCGTGTCGCGCGGTCATCTTCGTGTAAACGTTAATTCACGCGGCACACGGCCTGCTCTTACAGAACCGCTCGGGAAACGACAGGTTCGACGTATTTGCCCCCGCGAGCCCGCCAACCATCCAACCATCCAGCCTCCCGGCAGCCAGTGATCCAGGATGACGCGGCTTTGCGCCCGGATTACCCGCGATCCGCTCGCACCTGCGAATCATCGACCGTCGAGACGCGGATCGGTGTCGCGTTCGTCGACGATTATGTTGCGGCCGGCCCGACACGATCGCAATTAAGTTGCTCGGCGAGTTCTCGCCCGGCTACAAAAACATCTCTCCCCGAACCCACGATTCCGGCTGCTCGACGGCGCATGCCGTGCATCGCCGAGTCGCGCGGTGGTCGTTTTTATTTTTTCTTCTTCTAGGAACTACGGAATCTATTTCTCAATACGGTGCGGGTCACTTTGGCTTTTTTTTACTTTTGACGTAATTTACTGCCGCGACCATTTTGAAGAGATTTGCTCTAGACGCTAATAGTTTTTTCGTTTAAATCAATAATCTGTATTTGCAACATAAATCATTTGGTTCAAAGCATCAATAAGCAAATAAATAAATAATAATAATGTAAAAAATACGTATGTGAAAAAGAATAATAAGTAAAACGTAATAATAAATAAAGAATAATAGCAAAGTAAGAAAGAATAAATAAATCCTTTTTTTTTATAGTAACGAGCCTTTTTAACAGACGCTTAATTCTTGTCGAGCTTAGCGAAGCATTCGCGCGACAACAGCACCGCGGAAAATCGCGAGAAAGGAAGAACGGTGCCATGGCGACATTTTCCGCTCGGCGTCGAAAGCCCCGCGAACGATTCAGCGAAACCGGCAGCATTAATCGCGGCGAGGAATTCCGATAATTCGATCCCCGGATGGTCGTGGATCGCGTCAAACCGGGACCGAGAAAAATGACAAGGCATTACGAGGCAATTTCTGTACTTTGCCCTAATAAAATCCAATAATCCGGACGTGACGCCGGGATCCCGGCAATTTATCGGATCTACGGAATGAGATTCCCGAATAATCGGCAACGGCGGCAGATCAGCCGCTGTCGGCTCGTCCCGCGGTATCGATCGTCTCGCTCGCAACCGGCCCGGAATAATTTACAAGTCGAGCGGAAAGGTTTTCGCAGCCGGTCATTTTTCATTTCGTCGCCGCGCGCCGCGCGTCGCGGCCCGTCGATAACGTCGAGCGTGTAACTGGTGACGCGACTCGACTCGACGCGACTAGACTCGACTCGACTCGACTCGACTCGACGCGACCCGACACGACTCGGCCCGACGCGACCCGACGCGACGGGATTCGACTCGACTCGACTCGACACGCGCGCCGATCGAAGCCAATCGGTTCGAGCCGAGGAGAGTAGAGTCCGCGTCATCGATCCCCCGTCAAAATTCCCGCGATCGCAGCAGGACGCCCTTGTAATTACGCGATTAAACGACGCGTCCGACCGGACCGCCGTTCACCCGGAAAATACGGGTGCCGCTCGTCTGCCCGCGCAACGATAATCAATTCCGCGAGACGGGGCTTCCGCGCCGGGTTTATTCCGCGGCTACGCCGCTGCGCCACGAGACGACTTCGAAAATAAAGTTTTGACGCCTGAAGTTTCCATTTTCCGCGCCAATCTGCACACTTATACGTAACGTCACCCGAAGTTGGAGATGTAAGTGACGTGACAAGCGCAGAGAAATTCTGCGGCTGAAACGGAAAAACGACGCGCGTCTAGGTCTCGCGTGACCCATACTTGCATTTACATGTATATATTGGGTGTCCCAAAATTGTCGGATTTCCGGGAAATGAGGGGTTCCTGAAGTCATTTGAAGTAACATTTTCCTTAGCGAAATTGCAATCTGCAGCTTTGTTTGCGAGTTATTGACGAAAAACACTGACCAATAAGAGGCGAGCTCGCCCAGCGCTAGGTGGCCGAGCCAATCAGCGGAGCTGGGCTTCCACTGCTCGTTGGCACGGCTGCCTCGCGCCAGCTGAGTTCGCGCGAGTCAACGGCGCCAGCGGTCGAGCGGTCGAATCCCAGCTGAGCTGGCGCGAGGCGGCCGAGCCAACGGCGCCAGCGGACGAGCGGTCGAATCCCAGTTCCGCCGATTGGCTCGGCCGCCTAGCGCTGGGCGAGCTCGCCTCTCATTGGTCACTGTTTTTCGGTAATAACTCGCAAACGAAGCCGCGAATTACAATTTCGCTAAGGAAAAAGTTACTTCAAATGATCTCAGGAACCCCGCATTTCCCCGAAGTACCATAATTTTGGAACACTCTGTATACGCGTCTAACGTTTCGATGGAACGCGTGCATACAAGAGTTTCATTTCACTTCCACCGATTGATTGACTTTTTTTATTATTGCTAATATTGTTATAATAAATAGAGCCAGAAAATAAAAATTCCATTTATAGAAAACAAGTGATATTCATAGTAGAAACAAATAATATTTACAAAGGGTTAATAAGCAACGGTCAATTTTTATCCGAGGAACGTGCGCTGTTGATCGAAACAACACTTTGCTATTTATTAGAACGCTTCTCGCATGTCTACCGATTTGTTAGAGTAGTGTGTTTTTTGCATTTACCCGTTACAACGTGCATCATTTCCGCATCGGTCGTTGCGCCGTCGCTGACGTTGTTATCGCAACTACGCGGGACGTACGTTCCCGACGATGTTATTGGCGATACTGCGTTGGCCAAACATTCCTGCAATTAATTTCTGACAACACAAATGTTTAGACGTTTTCGGCCCCGCTATCGGCGCGTGTTTGTCCGACGGGAGCGGTGAACAATGGAGTTTTGAAGCGTTCGGAGGGACGCGTTTCGCGCGAAGGTGACGAATGAAGTATTTATCTTCTTCTGTCACCTGGCCGTGTCGTTCTTTTAGAGCTGTGTAAATAGTTCCTGTTCGACCAAAGTATATTCACGATTGTGGTTATTAATATTCCAAATATTCTAAAATATAATCCGATGCCTACTCCGTGACGCACGAGATTTTTGCTTCATTTCGCGCAAGAACCATCGAAGTCACCGTATAAATCATTTTAGAAATTCTATCTCAAAGAACTCGCTGCAACTTTTTCATTTCTACGAATTTTTTAATGAAATTTACAGGACACGCAGACAAAAGTACACAGTTCAATATGTATATAATCACTCGTCGAGAAGTAATAATCTCCTCCGCGAAAAATTGTTCAGTTCCGTCCATTGATCTCGCCTCTCATTGGTCACCGTTTTTCGTTAATAATTCGTAGACAAAGCTGCGGATTGAATTTTCGCTAAGAAAAAAATTACTTCAAACGACCTCAGGAACCCTCTATTTCCAGATTACGAGACATTTTTGGGACGCCCCGTACATTTCGGAGATTTCAGTTCTTCCCTTGAGATTCGAATTATCGAGGCACGACTGTGTGTGTGCCATATTCGATAAATATCAAATTAATTACATCCGCAAACGAACCAAAGCCACGGCAATTGGTCAGCACACAGTAATCGGCTCCAGTAGCCTACGAGTCGCCGTAAAAATCCGACTAACGAAGGTCGTCCTGATTGCAGAGTAAACCGCGTCGAGATGTAGCGAGCCGAGCCAGTCGCTCCCGATGTTCCATTCATCCCCGGGCTTCGCGAAGGTCACCCAGAGGCAGGAGTCACAGAAGAATCAGGGTGAGTGGAACTTTCCTCTCGATTATCGTCCAGCGAGCAACACCGCGCGCACCGGCAAAGTTTGTCCTTCGAGAGAGACGTTTGTCCTTCGAGTCGACGGAAGTTGCCGAGTTCCCGCGAAACTTTTTGGCGCGTTTCCACGACCGGGTTCGCGGGTGCCCAGGCTGCCGGGGGTCGCCCGTGAGAGACTGCTTCTCCAGCAGAGGGTAGCGATCTCTCGGCGCGAAACGATCGCGATTTGTCGCGGCCTGGGATAACGAGCGCGGCCTATTTCCACGGCAACGGGCTCCCGAATCGACGTTGTATCTCGCGAATGATTTCTCGCCGCGATACACACGGCCAAGGGCGTAGCCAGGATTTCGTTTAAGGGCGGGTAAAAATGTTGCACCAAACGAGACATTTTTCACGTAAATTTTACGAACTTTACGTAAATCTTTCCCAAGATAAAGATATCAAGGCGGTCAGTAGCGATTCTAATTTTTTAGACGCTGCTCGCGCAATTATCGTGTCACTTTTCTGCTATTTATTCACAGACAAAAATTAACTCTGAATTCTCGTTTTTTTTAATGAACATCGAATCTCACGTTAACTTTTAACATTGGAATTACCGTATCAGTCAAAGTAACTGACTTTTAATATTTTTTTTCAGTTCTTAACATTGTAAAAATGTTCCTGCGAGAAATTTTTAGACAAACTCTTTCAATTATAATAAAAATCGTACGAATAAATAAATTCAATCTTGTCAATGTTTTAAAACAATGTACGTTAGTCGTGTTAAGAGCTGGGTGGTTTGTTAATAAATAATGCATCTGAAGTTATGCTCGCAGACTAGAGGGTGGCCAGTGCCCCGCTTGCCACCTACTCGGCTACGCCCTTGCACGGGGCCCCGATACACGCGTCGCCGCGTTTTCTCGAACTGTCTCGCGGCACAATGGACCGTGAAATTGTTGGCACCGCTCTTAATAACCGCCGTTATAAAGCGAAGTTATCCGCGGTATTTCATCGGCGCTGAATCGGCGCCGGTTTGCACGCTCCTGTCGTTGAACTATCACGGAATAACAGCTCCGGCACCCTGTAATCGATTAGCCCGTAGTTCGCCCTTTTTGGCTTTCTGGCTCGCGAACTCTCTTCCCGAAGACTTTTTCCATCCGTTCCGAGCGAAACGGCGCCGTTGTCGAAATTTTCGAAAGTTCTAGCTGCAGTTCTTCAAACTTAAGATATGGCAAACGAAGTATTTGAAGTATTCTGCTCGGGCTAAGTCGTTTGTGCAACCTCTGGTAGAAAGCAGAGCCGGGCAAAATTTTATTCCGATGACGGATAAAAGGTAAGGACGAACGAACGAAATCTTCGGCCGTATAGAAACGTATCTAGATTAAGATTGACTCGAATAAAATTGTATTCGATGCGATTG